GACTCACCTTTGCAGTTTATATAAAAATGATGTCGTCTAAATGCAACAGGCCATGAAAAGCTATAAAGCTACATTCTCTGATTTTAAAAAGGTTATATCTCTTGCAAGTTTTTATTAAACTGTGATCATGTGTAATGCCTGTTTTATTCATTTTTGCATATGTCTTTGTACACGGGTGTCTCTCAAAAAAGAGATCTCAATGAAAACACCTGTTTAAATAAAGGATTTAATAATAATATCTGTAGTTTGTGTCAGCTTGCAATCGCAATAGCACAGGAGGGATTTTGTATTGGGTTTGTCTTTTTTTCCTTTTTTGTTAGTCATATCAACGCAATCTTTGTTGACCGACAGATTTGCCTGCAATTTGATCCACTTCCTGAAAATGAAAATCATGTTTTATTGATTGCAGTTTTGACACACTGGAGAAGATTCAGAGCCCAGAAGCACACAAGTACAAATACTGAAAATGGTAAAGATGTGCACAAGATCCTAGATCTCTTTTTTCAGATAAAGGGGTAGTTAGGCAGGCAGGTAGGTAGGCAGAAACTTTATTGGTCCCACAAGGGAAATGATCATGTTACAGCACCTTAATAAAGAAAACAAACAATACAGTCTAAAATAAATAAACAACATGGTTGAAGTAAAAGTGCCATGTGCGCACACTGAAGGTTTTAGACTGTGATATAGTGATATAATCAAATATCGTAGCGTAAGACTGAGACTGTAAGAACCTTAAATGTGGGATTGGCCACACCTGTATCAGGTAAGGCTTTTGAGGTTTATGGACCAGTCGTCCCAATGTTTTGATCACACTTCTTATTAGGTGCCAATTTCTGGCAGTATCTCTCGCCATGCTAATATAAATGCTCTGCTATGTTTTCCAGCAGCTGCTGCCCTTAGCTGCTGTTTGAAGCTGGGCAGGTAGCATGCGGTCACCTTTTAGAGTCTTTAGCGCCATACATAATATTAAACTGTGGGAGGTGGAAATAGTGAACACTGATTTGGATGATAAAGCTTTCTGTTTGTCACTGAAAAGCACCCACACTGTACAAGATCATCATTTAAACCATTGCTCATATGGAATTATTTGTAAGAGCAGCTTTAATCTTTCTATGGACCTCTGTGACTGTTGTCAGTGGTCATGGCTAACACCAGCTGGTTACTGAGAGTTCATGTGTGAAAGCGCTGTCATGCTGTCAGATTGCAAAACACCAGCTCCCTTCTGTGACCTCTCCACTGCATGAGGTCAGTAGGCCAAGAGTGAGATGTCCCGTGCTTCCCTATCAATAACAGACGTTCAAACAGAACCCTGACAGATTTCCACATGACGGACTGCCCACTGACTAATGGCAAACAGATTTCTGAAGTATTGGGGTGAACGCGTTTTCATATGCTCTCGCTCACTGCTCTGAACAAAGGCACTTCTCATGCTTTCCTCTGTCATGTTCACCCTCAGTTTGCTCGGCGACACTCCGTCCACGTTTATTTTTCTGCAGCTCGGGCTTAAAAACGAGTACAAGAGATTCCTTTCAGACAAAAGCATGCTTTAAAGTCTGTAATCAATGTTCTGTGCTCCACCGCTAGTGTTTATTCTCAATCAGTGCATTTGATTCAGTCATTCTCCCCCGAATGTCACTCTCCTGTGTCATTTTGGAAAAAGGCCTAATCAAGACGTGGCAATCAGTCACAGCATGGCACTGCCAGTACCCATTAACAGTCATGTGGATTGCATTGGAACTGATCGAGCCGACGCACAGCTGGAGCACAGAGGTTGTTTATCATATGTTTGGGCTGAGGGTGGTTCAGGAAAACTACCCGGTGTGATCCTGGGGACCTTTCGGGCACCCTGCAGAGAGCAGTGCTTCGGCTTTTTACAAACTTTTCCTTCGCATCACACCACATAAACAACTGTGAATTGCAAATGCAGACTACTTTTAAAAAATATATACATAACACAGAAGATAGATGAGCTTCACTTCATTTATTGGCATCACATCACTCCATGTAAAGGACACACAGCTTTAGATCAGAAGGTGGTTAAGATTAATGGTGATTTGGTAATGATACAAAATATAACAAATCTGTAGAGTACATTAATCCTGTTAAAACTTGTGCCTCGTGTGATATTTCATAAACATACGCACGATGATAAGACCTGTTTTTAACAAACAGAACAGTTTAAACATTTAGTTGACTTCCACGAGAAGCATAACAAAATATACAAAAGTTTACACCCACCAGATAACAAAACACTGGAGTGCAAATGTAAGTTGTTTTCATTCTTACACATTTGTCACAGGTACAAGCTTGTTTTTTTAAAGTGTATTTACCTTACACTTGCATTCACACATAGGCTGTTTAGCAACCCCTAACTGTACACACGGGAGGATTTAAGCAGCGTATTGAGCCAACAAAACAAAGAAGAGGCAAATAAGAAAGCCGGGATGAAGATGGTTGGTGGTAGGAAGTCAGGATCCCTGCAGTGCTAGCTTTCACAGATGCAGATTGATGAGGAGAGGGGAATAAAAAGCCAAAGGTCACTGGTCTCTTGCAACCTTTCACCTTAAGACGAGGAGATTTACAAACTAGCTCCTCGGCCCGACTCGATGTGTCACAAACAAAATCTCCCTCTGTGTTTTCTTCATCAATTGTGAATCAGGAAATAAACACCGGCTTGATTAGAAGTGTCAGCTGACCTTAAATGGGGAGGACAGAAAATAGCAACAGAAAAACCACCCTGGGGAGATTTGCACGCAGGTAAGAATGCGGCAGCTCACACAGCAAGGTGAACTCACAGCTGCTTCATATAAATCGCTGGTGCAGTCAGGCAGTGGGAACACAGCAGCTAAGTGGCTAACGCCCATCTGCTCAAACACAGACTCGACACTTTCCGTTTCTCTATCTCTCTCACAAGCCTACATTAAAAGGCAGAGCACCATGCAAATTCACAGCTTTACATGAAGACCTGGTCTTTTCTCTTTTCTCTCCCTGTGCCTGCCCGAGCTTGATCTCTTCATCTCCCCACACTGAAGTGTCAGCTCACACCGTCCTATCCTCTCAAGGGGGCGCAGGCTATGTGAACCAAATCAAAAATGTAAATGTAATGTAAACAATACTGTTGTCCCGGGTCAATGTGAGAACGACCCAGAATCCTCTCTGTAGTCACTGCTGATGTTAGCTCAGTGCTCTCAATCGTGTCTTTTGTTTCCCCATTTGGCATCCCACTGAAAATAAGCCAAATCATTTTAAAAAAAAGGAAACAGTGCTATGTGGCCACATACTGAATATGTGATCGAAGTGAAAGTAGGAGAATCAAATAAATAACAAGGTTCTGTCCACAACCCACAGGGTCGACAATCACAAGGAGTTCAGATGAAGCAGAAGAACTTCTTCCAGCTACACCTGGAGAACGCTTTGGTTCGCCTGTCAGAAAACCTCCTCTTCTTGGTTTTACGCGTTTTGTTCTTTATGGCAGCGAAGATGGCGGAGTCAAAGGCCTCCTTTAAGTTCTTCTGCGTGAGCGATGAGCACTCTATGTACTCCGTGGCTCTGATCTTCTCCGCCATGCTCCGGGCCCGGGAGCTCAGAACCGGCTTGACGTTGGATCGGTCCAGGTTGATGAGGACGTTTACGTCCAGCAGCAGGTCGGACTGAGTCCCTATGAGAATGATGGGAGCAGTCGGGTTGTTAGAACGGATCTCTGGTACCCACTTCTTGGTGATGTTGTGAAACGAGGTGGGGTTGACCATGCTGAAGCACAGGAGGAAGACATCCGTGTGGGCGTAGGACATAGCACGGAATTCGTCAAACTCCTCCTGTGTGGAGACAGAGCGAGGGTTAATGCCGATCAAAGTGAGTACCAAGTCTGAGTCACTAAATAAAGATACGCCATTAACATTCAGTTTGAAATCCTGTCAGTGAGTCACACAGTGGGTTAAGCAAGGATGTGACGGTCTGTACTTTCATAGCTCATATCATTAAATTCAAAAGGGTGTCTCATCAGTGGATAATTTGGTATTTTGTGTCAGCCTTAAATGAAACTCTTGATTCAAGTGTAAAGGCATCCATACCTGGCCAGCAGTGTCCACAAGCTGAACTTTGACAGGAGATCCGTCAATTTGGACCTGACCTGTTAAAAACCACATCAGTCAGTCAATTTACAGTAAACACAGTAACCAATTCAAACATCAGAACATGCAGCTCGTGCACTCTGGTGCCATTCCACTTCCAACATAACTTGCCACTCAATGTAAATCTGTGCTGTCATTAAAAACTAAAAATCATCACTCACCGGAGAAGACATCAAAGCCCGTCTGCTTGTACTCTGTCGGATATCCGTTGGAGGTGTAGCTGATGATCATGCTGGTCTTCCCGACGGCTCCGTCTCCGACCAGCATACAGCTGATGACAGCGGGATCGAGCTCATCCTCCCGGGTCAGCCCGCACGCAGATGGGACTCGGGACTCGTGGTAAAAGTAATCCATGTGAGGTGGCATGTCGAGCCGAACATTAAACCTCTGAATGCAAACTCTTCTCCGTCCCGGTCGCAGCGACACTAGATACCGTAGGTTGCCTCTCTCTCTGACACATACCACCAGACTGACTGTAGAAGTACGACTGAGGAGCAACATGTGCGGGGTGGGACGTATTTAGGGTAACTACTGTGCTCAGACAGGTTGTGATTTGCATAGACACGCCCACTGACTGAAGAATAACAACAGCTTTCTCTCAGCTTTTCTCTCTATTAGCTAGATATATAGATTAGCTTGTTTTAATAAAGCCCATATATATTAGACATTCATTGAGGAGAAAATATTATATACAAATTCTTTGCCGTCTGTAAGTTAAAAATGAAAAGTATCCGATACTTGAACAACATGTAAATGACAAAAGCGCTCAGGATTTATTTATATTTTTTCTAAGCGTCTAAATATAATCACTTTTGGACGAACTACGCTCCCTGGTGTTTACAAGATAGCATTGCATTCAAAGTGGTCACATGATTCCATGTGTCACCTGATTATCACGGTCTACCCTGCGTTCTGTACGCGGAAGCTAAGTTAGCTGGTGTGAGAAAACGAATGATTGAAATTTCCTCTCTTCGTGTGTTAATGCTGCAGAATAAACGCGTTTGTTGTGCTTTTTTGTTTCTTAACTTAGACACACGCGGAGAAAGGAAATACGTTACTGCAGCTTTAACGGGTAAATTTGTGCTAGCTGGCTAGCTACCTGCTAGCAGGTTTTCTTTCCCACCCCATGTTGCTTTAGGGTTGGCTCCTGTCCTGTATTGTTAATCCATTCAATAAGTGAGCTGAGGCACTTTTAACCATGGCTTCAATTCTCGATGAGTACGAGGATTCTCAAAACATCCGGCAAAGTGCGCAGCAGCACAGCCGCCTGTCAAGCACCAACATCGGGATAACCCATTCTGGTAGGTCGCCCTCTTCGTTTTTTTAAAGCTCCTTGCTAAGATGCAGTGGGGAATATTTGGCTGATACAGACATTTATATTCTCAACGTTAGGCTTTGTCAACGCGAGGCTTGAAGAAGAGAAGCCGATATTCAACAAGCAGAGGATTGATTTCACCCCACCTGAGAAGATAAATCATCTGGCTGTCTGCAACAATCAGCTGTGCATGAGTCTGGGAAAGGACACCCTGCTAAGGCAAATAGCACAATGACATGCAGTTCAAACGCTCACTGCTGTTTGTATGGCTTTGATTAGTTTCATTAGGTTTTGTTATTTTGTTTTGTAATTTACCGTCATTAACCCATTTTGTAAAAACATGGAGGTGCAGTTTAAAATGTAAATCAAAAATGTTTTGGATCAGGGACGTGTTTACCACACTGCTGTATTATCTTTCATTTAAACAACTGTCTGCCTGTGTGGGAGAGGAGCTGATGCTGTTGGGAAATCAAAAACGTTTTCCCATCTGTGCTCGGCATTGAATTTCATCTGCTTACAGCAGCTCATGGACTTCTCCTTTGAAAAGTGTTTTTAATCTCCCACACACTGTCACTACACAGCTATGCCCGTGGAATATGTGAACAATGACGTTTGGCATGCTTAGCATTGTCTTCCTGAAAGAAGTAAGGCCTAAGTTTAGAAGATACTGTATGGTTAATATGTTGGACCCTAAACTGAATGTCTCTCTGCAACAGCCCAGAGATAGACTGGTCACCTGTCCAAAGTGTGCTCCATCATTTGCCCTGTGACAGCCAGAATAGGCCCCAGTCCGATCACAACTGTGAATTGGATATGCAGAAGAAAATAGATGGATAGAGCATTTCTGTTTTTTTCAGACCTCAAATTCACAATGGGCACAATCTTCCTAGTTTTAAACATTTGTCAGGTTGTGTTTACGCTTGCTTTAGTTTAGCTGTATTCTGTTTTTATTCACATTTTTACACAGCGTTCTAACTTTGTTGTTAAGACAGTTGTATTATTCAGCACATCTGTTTCAAGATATTTTGTTCTTTTGTGTAGGATTGACTTAGCAAAACCAGATCAACCAAACCAGACTGAATTAGGAAGGAAAGATGACAGTAAAGTGCACAGACTGTTCTTGGACCCAACAGGTGAGATAAACCATAATAGTTTTCAAAATATTGTTTATACATCATAAATGGACTGCTAATTACTATCGAACATTCTGCAAGACAGTGCTATGTTATGTTGTTATAGATTATGCAGATATTATATATTGTTGTATAATTGGAGAAATAATTGATTTTGATTAGTCATTGTGTATTTTGAGGTGATTCAGCATTCATGCATAAGTGCTGTAATATTAGCAGCCACAAACCTCCATGCACAGCAAGTCTGAACTTGAATAAAGACAACAGTTTCATATGATAAAACAATTAGACAAAAATGTCTGGCAGTGCATCAATCTATAAATCATCATCATATATAAATGCTATGTCACAGTTATGACTGCTTAACAACAGCTATAACCTCCTCCATATTTTCCGTTACAGGCTCCCATCTGCTGATCAGCTTGAACACCAGTGAGTGTCTGTACCTCAACAGGAACACCCAGAAGGTGCGCAGTTTGTCCCGCTGGAGAGGCCACCTCATCGAGAGTGTGGGCTGGAACAAGCTGCTGGGCAACGAGACCAGCACAGGACCTATCCTGGTTGGCACGAGTCAAGGCATCATTTTTGAGGCAGAGATCTCTGCGAATGAGGGCAGCTTGTTTAACACCAATCCAGATCAATACTTTAGACAGGTGAGAAAGTGATTACGTCTGCTATTTAGCACATGATAGCCACATCTGCTTTGTAAGTTTTAACTGTTCAAACTGTATTATAAGCATATACATTTAATGCACTTGTGGAAACAGAAGAAAATCCTGATGTAGTTCATTTCTTCCTCTTGATATAATTGATAACATCCTGATGTAGGTCCACTCTGTGGAGGAGGATGGCAAACCTGCTCCAGTCTGCTGTTTGGAGGTCGAGCGGGGCCTGGAGAACAAGTACTTTATCATAGCTACCACACGCAAACGCCTGTTCCAGTTTGTGGGTAAGGTAGCCGAGGGGTCGGAGCAGCAAGGCTTCAGTTCCATCTTCAATCAAAATCAGGACTTGCTGCCCAGTTTCCAGGAGTTCCCAGTCAATATGGGACACAGCGAGATCACCTTCTACACCCCTAAGCTGCGAACGTCCCCCAAGGCGTTCGCCTGGATGATGGGTAATGGAGTTCTTTATGGTCAGCTTGACTACGTCAGGCCTGATTCCCTGCTGAGTGATGTGCAGGTAAATGTCAGTCAGCATGTGTGAAAACTTTTTAACATTTTTCTTAGTAATATCTCATCGTTGCTGTCTTTATGTGTCATATACTATCTCCACATCTCCTCTTTCACAAACAGGTGTGGGAATACACTCCAGACATTGACCTTAATCAAAACAAGCCTATCTCCATTGTGCTGACACAGTTCCACTTCCTGCTCTTGCTTCATGACCGAGTTAAGGCCATCTGCACTCTGAATGGGCAAGTGGTTTACGAGGACTTGTTCCCAGATAAATTTGGCAGCCTCAAGAAAATGATCAAAGACCCAGTTGGCGGGTTGGTGTGGATCTACACTGAGCGGGCAGTTTTTCGATATCACATCCAGCGGGAGTCCAGGGATGTCTGGCAGATGTACATGAGCATGAATAAATTTGATCTGGCCAAGGAGTACTGTCGCGATCGGCCTGAGTGTATGGACATGGTGCTGGCAAAGGAAGCTGAGCACTGTTTCCAGAATAAACGCTATCTGGAGAGCGCCATGTGCTATGCACAAACACAGAACTATTTTGAAGAGATTGCTCTCAAGTTCATAGAAGCCAAACAAGAGGAGGCCTTAAAGGAGTTCTTACTGAAGAAGTTAAACAATCTCAAACCCAGTGAGAGAACTCAGATCACCTTGTTGGTCACCTGGTTAGCTGAGCTCTACTTGAATCGCCTCGGCCAGCTGGAGAGTGACGGCAACAGCATCATTTTCAAAGAAACCCGTGACGAGTTTCGTCAGTTCCTTGGCAGCTCCAAGCACAGAGACTGCCTGTACAACAACCGCTCCACCATCTACGACCTGCTGGCCAGCCACGGCAACGTGGACGACATGGTTTACTTCTCAGTCGTCATGCAGGACTACGAGAGAGTGATATCCCACTACTGCCAGCACGACGAGTACAGTGCTGCTCTGGATGTGCTCTCCAAGCACTGTGACGAAAAGCTTTTTTACAAGTTCTCCCCGGTGCTCATGCAGCACATTCCCAAAAACGTGGTGGATGCGTGGATTCAGATGGGCAAGAGGCTGGACCCAAAGAAGCTCATCCCAGCTCTGATGAACTACAGCCAGATGGGCAGCACGCAGCAGATCAATGAGACCATCCGCTACATGGAGTTCTGCGTTTATGAGCTGATGGTAACAGAGGAGGCCATCCATAACTACTTGCTGTCGCTTTATGCAAAGTACAAACCAGACTCTCTGCTGTGGTATCTAGAGCAGGCAGGCACACATGCCTCAGAGATCCACTACGACCTCAAGTATGCTCTCAGGCTGTGTGCGGAGCATGGCTACAGGCAGGCCTGTGTG